GTATATTTAAAGTAAAATCGAATGAAAACGTACCCTGAAGAACGCGCTGGTCGACCCGCCTTCTACAGCCCCGTATTTAATTTTCGTTTGCTTCGCAAGATCTTCGACATTTTTTATGGGATTATCCATCTTTTCAGCGGTGAGGAAAGCGGCTAAGTTCGCGGTGTACGAAGATCCCATGATCAGCGTGAAGAACCACCACATTCCAGCCAGCATCCGGATCGACGGTGACCTATGCGAAAATACTTGAAATATATACATAAGAAGGTAGAGGTAAATTGGATCCGATGGATCATCTAGCGGAGGTTGACGAAAATTGGACATGCTCGAGACGGATCGAAATTCGAGCCGATCAAAACGTAGCTGGCCAAAGCAAATCGGAGGTAACAGAGTTTGCTTGAGAGGTTAGCGAATTCTGAGCTGATCGTTTATCGGAGAAAGTTAGATTTGACGAGACACGTTTGCCAAACTTGATTCATTTATCATTTCAATGATTCGTTCATCCCTTGGCCGATAGATAATTCAAAATGGACGTTCGAATATCAAATTTATCGATCCTCGTGTATTCTCAGATAGAAATCCTGAATAAATTATTGTATCAGTCGATCCAATTTTCTATGGCAAAGCAACGCAGACACGTTTTCCTGCGAAATCTGCCTACGGATTATTCAATCGGTCCAGGACGGCAAGTAAGGTAAATCGTCCGGTGCTCGAGTGGACGCAGCTCTCCGCGGAGCATACTCGGAGGGCGCAAAAGCCGGGGGATGGAGGCAGCATGCATCGCGTTTTCCTAATTAAGCGCGAGCTAAAGGGACGCGTATGCAAATGACGCCTGTTTGCCGAGCGCGGATGCTGTAGCGCTCGCGCTGCTGGATATTCTGCGTCGCGCGAGTGTGCACGGGACGCTGAGTAAACAGAAACAAAGGACATTGTTTCCGCCCGCGATCCGGGCTCGATTCTCCCATCCGTCGACAAATGGATCGCGATTAAATTGCCGCATGCGCGAAATCGATAAGCGATACTATTACCGCCATTCTCTACCAATTTTCATCACTGGGTATCATGAATACGATTTAAAAAAAATCCAATAGCTTCCCCGAGCTAGAAAAGAATGATGATTTTCTATTTTGGATCCGTGGTAGAAACAGCGAGATCAAACAAAAATGTAACCTTTCATCTTCCTACCTGAGACGCTGGAAGATTATTCATATGCAAATCAGGACGATCTTCGCTACGGATACACAAACAACCGGCTAGGAAGCAGTTAGGAGTTGTCGTTGTTAACCGGTCGCCTTGGTCGTCATCGTCTTCAGTCGGTTTGTCGCCGTCGCTTGTACCTCTACGCGGCAGGCAAACACGCGCGACGTTACGAGCGGAGAGTTAACGCCGGCACGGCGCTAATAAGTGGGAAGCCGCCTCAAATATGTCCCGCAAACACCGGCTCGTTAAGCTTAATTGTCGTGAAAAAAAGAGGATGCGCCCCGGGAACACGGGGTGCGAGAGTCGGGAAAAAAGCGCCGCGTCTGCTTTTGGCACCGTCTCTGTAGGCTTTTCTACTAACGATCCGCGATATTTTATCTCCTTAAGCAGAATAATGAGATCGTACCCGGATAGCAGATTTTCTCCACTCTCGAACGCGGATAAATCCTTTGACAAAGGATTCGCAAATGTGTATTAAAAAAAAACAAAAAAAAAACGACTAGCATTTTCAGTTATAGTTTTTCATCTGATACAGAAATGGCCAAGAAATCGGTTTTCCGATTTAGAGTTCAGAGCTCAATGAGACGACGAGGTGATGTTTATACTGAGATAGGAAGCTGACACATCCTTTAAAACGATTTGGCAAGAGTTGGCACAAAAACTTGAGTAACTCAGAAATTAATCATTTCCGAATCTATGTTGATATAATTTTTTTGTCTTCTCTAAGCATTAGGCTATTCCTAAAGCTTTGCCCACCATTTAGGAAACATCCTGTATAATAAAGTAGGCTACACCTGATCTACTTACTCACTCCCTCTAACCTGCTCCTTTTTAACTTCCTCCTCTCTTTAACTTTTTGACCCCATCCCCTCCAACTCTCCCTTGGACTTTGTCCTTCAACCCATACGTGAGACTAGTATAGTTTAACTTTACTGTTTCGTACATACTGTGGAAGTATGTCTGAGCCTTGTTGCATGAGAGAGCCGGTCACTAGCCACAAGGAGTTTCTCAAGGTGAAATTGTTTTCCAATTCTTCCGGGTCTGGGTTGCACGGATGCGGATTGTCCCACTCGCCCGGGGCCATTCTGAAAGCAGACGTCCAAAACCCAATGAAAATATTCCCCAGTGTTCTCCTCAAACGGTTCTTGTTTGTCAGCTCTCGGGGTACCTAGCCTGGATGGATAATAAAATTGTAATTGCTAAGACAGCAGTGGCGGTGTACAACCAAACGTCGGTGGACAACGGTGACAGGAATGAGAACAGATTCGGTTCCTTCGCTTCCGGTTGGCGGTACAGAATGCTGATACCTGACAAACAAACCCGTTACGTATGAGAGATCAATTTCGCCTTAAGCGAAACGAGAAGTATTTGTTATACCTAAATTCATGAACGGCATGGTAAAATCGACTGCAGTTTCCCTTTCATAAGTAATCGTCAAATCGCAAATGGCGAGGTCCGCCTCCTGAAATCAATTCTTTCTCAAAACTTCCTATAATTCCTAATTCATAGTTCCTTCCATGATATAAAAGCATTAGGTTTGTTCTTGTGCATCCATTTGAACAACTAATCACGGAAACTTCCACTCGTTGGCCATTTTGGATTTCTAACCAATCACGCTTCATATTAAAACAGAACGAATTTTAAAATCGTAAACTTATCAAAAATTAAGTTCTCGGAGTGTAATATATATGCGTGTTTGGACTAAACAATAGGTCATCGTACTTCCAACATGGCCGACGAGTAGAAGGCACAAACAGTGACGCATTTGAAAACATCTTATGTTTTTACATCATAGTTCCTTCCGATTATGCGATAATTACCCGATCCAGCAGACGTCTGATCAAACCGTTCCACTGTTTCGTATCCGAGTTATAACTGCCGTAATTATTGTCGGGCACGATTTCGAACTCGTATTTGAACCTCAATATCTTGGATATCTCTTCGATGAGATCGATGCAGAAACCCTCGTATCGCGTTTGATCAATTAAAATGCCTCTGGTCGCGCTGTCTGTCACTACCATCGCATACGGCTCGCCCTAATAATGCATCATGATATTCCTAATTACTGATTACAATTATTATGCATCAACTGTTCATCTGTATTTGCATTGGTTATTAATAAACAGTGGATTTTGTGCTTTTATAAAAACACCGAATGTCTTAAAAATCTACAGAATATCAAAAATTGAATGCTAAAATACGCTTTTTAAGGGGACCTGCCAGTGTGAAACTTTACAAAAATCGAATATTTTTTTGCATTTTTCGAAAGTTTATACCTACAAAAGTATACTAAAATTTCAATGTCGGATCTCAACTAGTTTTCAAGTGGCAGTCTTCTAATAGTATTAAGTATAACTC